TTATATTTACCTAAATTCAAGACCATCCTGAACATCTGTTTAAATCTGCATATGTTATTGTTCCTGGTTTTTTAATTTCTTTAATACCCTAATCTTGCCAATTACTTTAATACCTGTTTTGGATCCATTGTAAAAAGCGTGAACAAATTGATTATTTTTTGCGACCCTGTTGTACACATTGATCAGACCACGTAGTTGGACTGCACATCGGATCACCGAGGAATATACCATTTATTTATTTATTTAAACGCGGGCACCGATACAGGCGTGTTGTAACGGATTTAAAACGTATAGATCGTTCTGTATGCCTCAACATGCAGTGGCGAAATAGTAGGGCCGTTTACTTGAGATAACAATCGAGGCGAAATCGGTACCGGTTTCCAAGAAATTCCTAGACGTCCACGTTGTGAAGTATGGAATTCGACAGCCCATTTTACTCGAATAGAAATTCGTACAGCGGAACAGTTTTGACTATGTGCGGCAATAAAAGCATTCAGTGTGTTTGTGTGTGCCGGATACTATATCGAGGAAGCAGCACAGATGTACGTCTTCTAACTACGTAGTTGCATTACTCAGCATTCATGTTACACAGTTTGACTGGAGGACTGCTGCCATTGGCTGAATCATGTCTTCGGACAGAACAAGCAGTATCGCCATAAATAAGTTTCCAAGAGCAACTAGTGGCCCGCGGCACTTTCGTGACCTCTTCTAACCGGTAAATTTAACTATAATAGCTGCTACGAGAAGAGAAACCTATCACTCTGTTCATCCCTTCGGTTACTTTTGGAAGTTTCTACTGACCTTAAGCTGTATGTATGCAGCTCACGCACCTCAGCTAGGCAAACGCCAACTGAAATCCATTGCCTAGGCATCAATAACTGGCTTTTCGGAAACATATGGTGCCTTTCTGATGCAAATGCCTTTGTGTTGAGCACACTCAATAATGAACTTTTTAGCTAATACTGATCGAGCGATTATTAGTTTACGTATGACAGCAGCGGGCGAGCAGAAGACGTAATGGGTCAACGATAGAGTCGGTCCCTGAGCCGATCGCTACGTCTAATTGGAAGATACTCTGCGATGCATCCAAAGTCGATTGTGGGTAACCATTAAAATCGTGTTTCGTTGGAAAGATTACAACGTCCCAGGCCCCGGTGTGCCGGCCTCGGTCAAAGTTAATTTAACAAGTACGTTTGGCGTTAGGCTCCAACTAAACAACCGTCTGTCTTGCTAAGGAACTGAGTTCATCTACATGTCGCTGGCCTATGGGACTGGTATAAACCAGTCAATACATCGCAGAGCTATTTTATCTGTCTACGGATGTGATTACCACATTTCCTGAGGTGAATTGTGTCACCTTCTAAACCCAAGTGTTTTCTTTTCAGTGTTAGTCTGAGCACATCCCATTACGCGCTTTCAATGAGCAGCAGCTGGTTTACACGGCCGTTTATTCACTGTGAATATCGAGGGAAAACCACACTTCGAATTCACGACTTGTACTTATAATAAAGATCTTCAAATACCAACACATCCGTACATTTGTGCAGCCTCCGCAATCCAGTTGCATGGTGAGACGTTCCCAAACTTAAGACAACCAAACACTTAGTTAAACGGAAGCAACACACGATTGTTTAAGCAATTATCCAACTCTAAAAACTGAATAGCCAAATTCCAGCAGTATATTGGTTTGTGGGCAACACCTGCACCTGCTTGAGAACTTTTCCACTGAGAACTGCAACATTCCTCGCTAAGACCTCTGTAACAGGCGGTTACCAGTCACGTTGTATGCCTAGCAGTATCAAATAACACCCGCGGACATTGGAATGCTGTTCTTGACTCCCAGACTCTGAGTAGGGCAATATATACCTAGTGCTAATCCTTTAACGACAATTACACAGCGGCTTCGGGATAGCTCACTTGTCGTTCGTTAATCCACGCCTAGTGCAGTGTCCATCGGCCTGACGTCAAGCGAGAGATTATTAACATCGGGCACCTTAAAACAACTGGATGGGCGCCTAATCTCCCTCCTCCAGTCGAAACAAGCCAATCAGTGATGGAGAGGATACCTACTGTAAAGACTAACCAGCGCCTTGAAAATTCCCAATTCGGATCAACGTGCGCAGCTCATCACAGTAGGCTGACTAGATATGGCTTTAAAATTTACTGACAGAATGTTATTTTGAAACATCAGTTTTGTTCTGCGGTTGACAGCATTTGCGGTTATCTGACCTTAATACAGGGTGAATTCGTAAAGCAAAGAAAATCACTAGAACTCTCTGGATAGCTTATTACTTTCGATATCGTTGTTTTAGCGCTATGTCCATATGATAAGTAGTAATATAGTTTTTCCATCGGGCACTCATAAGCTAGCCCTATTTCGGTTTGGATTGCAACCTCATACCGTCAGCCTACTGGACGGTATGTTCCCCGTGTCTCATACCGTTCCGAGGCAGCTAGGAGGGACGTATTAGAAGCGCATAAAAGTTTGCTCGCATCAATGCTTGTCGGATGACTGCATCAACGTCTGATCTCATAGTAGGTTGGCTGGTAGCGAACAGCTCTCGGTACCTCAAAGTCACTCACGATTCTATTCTAAAAGTAGGATTGCATATCTACTTGACTGTTCCGATTACCCAGTGATGAAATGGTGGACCTTTTCCAAAGATTTATTTTATCGTGTGCCCAAAGAGGCTGAGGGGTTTCTTTGCATATGACTTATATACAGCTGTTTGAATAACGTGTGAGCCGTTTCTATTTCACAGTACGCTAGCTTTCACCTACGTAACTGCTGGTTCGAATAATAGATCTCTAACCCGGGTCCCCGACGCAGCCATGGCCCTTGCAAGATCTATCATAACCCTCTGATATTTAACAAACCCTCTCTCGAGCAAATCTGGTAGACTGTATTGCTGCGCAGAGGTTGTTAACACCCCAGTCAAAAGCAATGACCACGAACGAAAAAGGGCCATTAGTAAATTCATTGAACGCCAGTCGAATCTAATGGAGTAGCTAACTGGTTAGTTGTCGCAAATGACGTAGCTTTCGCTACTCACATTGAGGTGGGATCACCTTGCAATTGAGTACGAGCACAATACTGCACGTGTTGGAACTTTCTGTACGAAGATGTCCTCATTTTCACTGACTGAATGGTGTGATTATCCGTGGGAAGTACTAGTTCGTCGTAGATTGCTTCATCAGGAATGATTTCTCCTGTCAATGTGAAATTACTATTAGGATCGTATTCCTTTTCGGGTTATTGTTGTTGATCGAGAAGCATTTAAGCGAGTGAGCGTTCAGTCGAATTCACCAAGGTTGGGGTTAAAAGATATGCTTATAGTAAACGAACGGGTGAACAAACAAGCCTAGAGTTCCTCGCTCCAGAAAATACATCGTCAACTCGCGACAAATAAGAATCTTTTGAAACAATTAGACTCTAGGTTGAGAACGCATGTGAATCTTCTAGCAAAGCATCGCGTGCAGGCAACAGCTGTCACAGACCATACAGCCGGCTGGCTGGAGTAGTTAGCTTTGAGGCTAAACTTGAGGAAGCAGAGGCGACAATACAGACATAAGATGAAAAGCGGGGAAAAAATTGAGCGCTGATCGATGGGAAAGTTTTTCCTACTCGCTGAGCGGTTTTACTACTTTGCAGATAGGGAGGTGAAATAAACATCAGCGGTATTGACGCAGTCCGAGCCATAGGGTAGACTTGAGTAGCGGAAAAATTGAAAATTTGTGAGGGCTCGCGAATAATTTTGCTCCTTCCTGCCGTCGTAGTTTGCCATTTGATAGACTTCGCTCTTGCTTAGGAAATATTACTCAAGTGAAACGGAACTGATTACGACCATATTGTTTTCAGTTGGACACGCTGAACAATCGGGGCACCGACATGAATTCGCTGCTTCGTATGAAATTGGGATAGTCTCTAGCTAACGGACACGAAAACGGCGTAGCAAAAGGACGTCCTCTATCTCAACAGATAACAAAATGGCCGAAATGTACTCTACGGAAAGTAGCAACCTGGAACAAATCTGCGAGTTACAATGCTCACACGTGGATAATGAAGCTCAAAAATTGCAACCTATCAGCATTGTTTCACAACTGGTGCAACAAGCGCTACCGTCGATGCTTGCCTATCTGCTTGCCAGTATTTTAATCCGGGATTCAACATGTGGTGATCCGTTTCTTGTTTTATCACGCCATTGTGCCTCATGACTTCCTGTGTCATTACGTCATATGAAGATAGTGGTACCAGCTTTAGAATACATAGACAAAGTAGTTAAATCTAAAGAGTTGTCTCAATGCCCCAAGCACCAATTGTGCCTCAAAGAGAAAGGGCCGATTTTGGCGTAACAGATCATTGTAGCCATCGAAGGAACCTCACTTTGATTTGTGCCTCAGGATGTTAACATAATTCAACTTCAGTTTGTGTGGAAGAAAAACCTACTCTTTCCACGGATCGTTAAGTAGTTGCGAAACCACATTCAGTTCACAAAGGGTAACATCATTTGTATGAAAACCACAGAGGGTCGATCAAGGGGATAGGCGATTCATGAACTAGTAACTGGTTTAATTCATCATAGGGAGACAGACTAAGAACGCATTTTCTAGCGTGAGGGAGTACGAAATGAATAATCACACGTAAGATGCTTTCACGCTTTAACAGAGAGGAACGGGTTCATATACATGAAAACGGAGTAGTTCGACAATCGAGGATACGGATTGCAACTGTCAAGTGCTACACTTAAGAGTATTTCGCATCAACGAGCCCTCTTTCATTTGGTGACGGCTATAAGAGGATGGCCTGCATTACCGCGTAGAGTCTTGTATCTCTAAACATATCCGTGTGTTCTCGTTCCTTATCCGACAGACGCAAATGATGCGCTCGATACCAAATGCTAGACTGAATTCATTAGGGTTGCTAAAATCACCATGGGCGGTCGGTACAAGTTCGCAGCAATGCAAAAACCGGTTGCTTCAGCGCGATTAGAAACGAAGCCGATTCACAAAAACGTTGTTAACGTAAAGATTCCTGAATTACAAACGTTCGGGGTGTGTCTTTTACAGGGCTGCCATAGCGACGATGAAGTACTTATCAACACTGCGAATAAGAACTAGACTACACTATCGGTGATATAACTTTAAGCTAGTGCGCGACATAGTTCTGGAAATTTGTACCCACGATATTCCGGGATGGGTCAAACAAGGCGATAAATACCTAACGGACAAAGTCGCACAGCAGTACATGCGCGTCTAGGATTTAAAGAAAACATTCGAATACCGAAATTATGGGGAGAAGACCACAGTTTAAAAACAACAGATTAAATGTTCTGAGTTCAGAGCAGGTACCAGGTGGTAATATGTTCAAATATACTCACATCAGTACAACAGTGCATCATTCGATTTACGAAGAAGCTTCCGGGTGAAATACTTTTTCCGTTTCTTAACAGTGCGTGTGGTATGGACTGGATACTGAAGATTGTCGTCCACATCATAGTCGTCGTCTGCGGAACTCACTGAAAGAATAGTACGCGGAATCATTGATATGATCGTACTTGCCTGTGGCACCTGCTGACCAAATGTGCCACTAGTAATAACACGGACTGCACTACCAGGCACACTTCCAATTGCAGCATCAGGCACACCGCCAACTGTAGAACCAGGGACCCCAGTCCCGTCCGTCCCTGGGAATTGGCTACCCGTAGGAAGCGTAAAACGACCTTGCGCATCCAATTGCGGTGTCGCTGGTTGGGGGACAACAGTCTGCGGTTGCACGGCTGACGGTTGTATCGGTTGCTGTGGTTGCAGTTGTTGTGCTAGCTGGCTTCTTTGCTGCTGTAATAAATTCTGCTGTTCCTGCTGCAGCTGCTGTTGTTGTTGGAGATGTTGTCTTTGTAGCTCCTGCTGTTGCTGCAGTGAGGTCACTAAACTCGCCAGTTCAGCGGCCAGAGATGAATGGGTATCCGGGGTAGCAGTTTGAGTAATAGGGACTACCGCGGGTACCGGTAGACTAACGGCTGCTGTTTGTGGTAGGGCGACTGGGGCCACAGTATGAGCTGAGTGACCATAGTCCGCCGTGGTCAGCCCTAAAGCAGCTCCCAAAGCCGGTTGAGTCGCGAGCAGCATTGCACCCAGTTCGGCAAGCACGGGAGTAACGGCAACGGTCGGTCGTTGAGTTAGGGGAAGCAGTGCGGCGTGCGTCTGATCAGCAATGTGAGATTGAAGGCCAAGGGCCGCCTGTGACGGGGTAACGATGACTCCAGCAGAGGTGGCTGGTAAGGAAGGCGAAATACTGCCCACTGGTAATTCTGAACGAGGTAAACCTGGTAAACCTGGAGGCGGAGGCGATGGGGCTGGTGGCGGAACTGACTGAGGACTCAACGCACTAGGGGGGCTTGGGGGAGGAGAGGGAGGTAAAGGAGATGTTGGAGGTGGTGCCGTCGGAAGCTCCGACCTAGGGGAACCTGAAGTTCCCGTGGCAGGCTGAGGACAATTATTTGCAGTTTGCACTGATGTAGTCGTCTCCGCGGGAGTCTGAGATATGATTATGTGATGCGCCCCTTCAATTAGTCCTTTACGATTACTCCGTTTGCGCTTCTTCGGTTTCAAGAGGCGGCGAAGGAGATGAATCATCTCCACTTGCACAGGCGTTTTGTCCAGTGTTTCGATGTTTGGGAAAGATACTTTTTTCTCGACCATAGGTGATTGTATCACCATGGGGGCAGAATCCAGCAGGTCGTCATCCATAATTTCATTTTCTTCTTGTTTCAGGAGAGGGGTGACGTCGAGCACACGTTTGTACAATACAGGGCGACGCTTTTTAATGAGCCTGGGTAATTGGCGCAGCATGGATCCTTTGAGCACGTGAAAATCACCTTGGCGGTGATACTGATGATGCCGAGTGTGTCCTTTGTGGTAGGAAGGCTCCAACTCCAGCGAGGCGGGATGGATTGGAGAGGGTGGAGTACGTGACCGAGAAAACCATGGTAAGCTGTGAGCAGACAACCGAGCGCTAACAAAAAGCACAGTAAATACCACAACAATGGGTAAGGAATTTCTCATGGAAGGGCAAGTTAGTCTGGATCGCAAATGACCGCTAAGCACAACAAGCTGAGTGCGAATCGTCAGATCGAAATGGCGCTGGCTTAAGTGAGCTGCATTCAATCGCAGATGAGGGCGCTCACTCCATGCGTCTGGTACTGACGGAACATTACAGTATCAGAGCATTAACTCGGATCGATACACAGCCAACTGGGATTAAGGCAGCTATTGAGAGTATCAGATTGATTAGCTGCGTCAGAAGATCATTCATCAAATATGGGGCCCCCAAAATACAGGTTGCTAATGGTGAAGAAAATTACCGAATCAGCCTAAGCAGTGTGTTGGAGAGATGGTTTGTGAGTCACAACTTAAATAAATAAATAAATAAAGCTTTTATTCTCGAGAAGGCGAGGTACGCCTTTACATGCATGATCATTTTGACATAACAATGCGTGGTCCAGAATGTGTAAAAATCCGATATGTTTGCCACAACAGTGCATATTTGTGTAGGGCGGGTATGTAAGTATGTAATTGTGTGTGCGTGTATGTAGCTGTGTACTTTGTGCTTGTAATTGTGCTGCTCCCTTCTTGAATGTTTGATATCGTAAGCAATGTGCGAGTAGATTGGTGTCCACGGGTTGGAAAGGATTATCCGGATGTCCACAGGGCAGTGACTTTATTTTGTGGCGAGTCACGACCGCCACATCACAGTGTTGTTAAGCAGACATTTGTGGATTTTTATAGGGAGAACGCTTGCCAGGCGAAAACTCACCACGTCCTGGAACACTGCCGCCGAACTATTTGCTGGAACGGGTTAAACCCAAACAACCCAGCTGGCACCACGAGGAGGTTGTTCGGCTAGCCAGCCAACTTACTTTAAAAACCCATAATAATTGGTAATTGGAAAACATTTCTTAGGGTGAAAATCGCCTCAAAAATGGGCAGTGAATAAGTCAGAAGGCTATGAAGGGCTAATCCTCGGAACCATGACGTAAATGAAGGTGGCAATGGTTTAGCAGACAGCTCGTGTAAATTGGGTGAGATCACAATGCTTGTATAGCTGTTGTTTTTTGGCTTACACAGGTTAGTACGCCTGTCGATGGAGAGAAAAGCTTTTGAGACCCAACGAGGCAATCAGGGGAATTTGTGCGTTCCAGTGGCACGACCAATTTGAAAAGGAAGCGGAAGCTTTAGATTATCTTGTATGTACGTAATACTAGCCTAGAATTCTCCAAAAGATCTGGTAGATATGTTACAACAGCTGTTTATTTTACAGTGCTTAAAATTATTTAACAAACAAAAGCGCAGACTGAAGATCAAAGGTGTCAGGGCCGTAGATATTGCAAATGCACTTGCAGAAAACAGGAAATACGTAATAGCTGGTTTATGAGGTCAGAATCCGAAATAATATCAGACAGAAAACCGCCGAAGAGTGCAAGTAGGCGACTGGAGTCTCCAATGGCCTGCCTATAAAGACGCTACCTATCAAGACGTCTAGTAGTGCACGTCAGCGTGTAATGAACATGTAATGCCACTGGACGGAGATCCTAAAGAACGCCGGTTGCTGGGCGAGGCAGAACCCGGATACAGTTCAAGTTTGCCAATAGTTCGTTTCTTATTGGGCACAAACTATTGCGCGTGTGATTTTCCATAACTTGACGAATACGGCTGTTAGGTGTACATATATTCCTAACTAATGCACGTTCGTATTTTGGAGGTCCGTTGTTAATGTTTCTGCACTCATTTTGTGGCAGTTCACACGAAAATTTGTAGAAATGTATGTGACTACGTGGTGATTAAACAGGGTTTGGATTGTCATTTTGCACTTGCTAAAATCGAGGCTGATGAAGCATCTGCTGTACGTCATCGTTTCAGTTGCGCTAAACTCAACTGGATGTCTTTCGGAGGTGCGCTTAACACATTAAACCGCCCGCGTGATATATATTGCTTGGCTGTGCTTGAGATGAATGTTGGCAAGGTGCCAACAAGCCAAAAAATCGCCACCGATTATACTGTCTCCAGTTGCTCGTTGCTTTGGGCGACGAGGTGCACGGTCCTCGTGGTTCCATTTAGTGTGGAGCGGGTTACGACCCAGCCAGCGCCTTGTGTAAGTCTGGTACGCATGATTTCCAAAGCAGATAGACAGGAATCCTGCTCCTGTGCACGTTGAAGGTGTGTGGGCCGGCTCCGTTGATGAAACGTGTCTCCCATCCACTTGTTTTTCGGTCTTATTCCTTCGATTTTACACCGAATATGGATGGTGCAGCGCAAGTTACCCACGGTCCTTGAGTAGGCGCAGGCGTTCTGGGGCTGTCCCCGTGGAGGCCGCAGTGACAGGTAAATCCGTATCCATATGCTGCCAACCATATCACGGTGTAAAAAAAGCTTTCGTTTACGAAACATTGTTTCAAAGAGGGTATCCTGGACCAGTAAATTATGTGGTTCGCCCGTCTTTAAGCAACTTAATTCGTGAGGCTGAGGAAAATTGCGGGACTGCCAACTTAAAGGTAAACGTAAAACGAACAGTAGGCCACAGTATTTATCGTTAGCAAGTGTTGTGCTAGTTACAGAGGATAATTTCGCCGCGACACTCCTCATATCAAGAGAATGAAAGTAAGAAAACAGAATACTGGAACACATTGTTCATATAAATGTAAAGTTAACTCATTTCGAGAATGTGTTTATTGCGCCGATGAAGGGTGAATATTCGGATGTAAAGTGTAGCGCCCCAAATGCGAACTGTTACCTTGTGCACAATTTCACTGATGACCAATTGTACACTACTCTTTGTTGTTTTAATCTCCCATACGTTATGTCCATGTTGATCTACATCCGGCTCGACACTCAACCGCCTTGTGAGTTCCCGCGCTAACATGTTCCTCCTGTCTTGCTTCATCCGTCCGCGTCTTCTTGTGGCCCACCGAATGCAGTCCGTTGTGTCCGACTCCAACTGCCTTCTGATTTCTGCGCTTAATTTCGCGCACCGTCTCGGACTAGTATTTACTAGTCCTACAAATTTGTGACCCCGATTAGCACGCGCGAATCTAAACATTTTTCGTCGTTTGTATTTTTTGGTGAGCGTTCCATTTTCTCGATTAGCTACGTGTATTCGTTTGTTTCCTGTGTACTTTTAGTAGTTTCATCGTGCTGCTGTTCATCATTGTCCCTTTCGAATCACATTTCGCAAGTGGTATCTGAGTCGTTTCACAGCGCAAACATGCTTACTTCGGCTGCTCCAAGTTTCAAGAAACCCAGCCCAGAGGTTTGATTTGCGTTATTTGAGATCGAACTGGAAAATATGGGCATCCAGACGGACCATCCGTGGTACAATCAACTCGTCCCACGCCTTCGATCATCGGTTGTGAAGCTGATTGAAATTCTACTCTGCCCACCGAATGATGCAAAGTATGGAACGATGAAGCTAATGATTCTAAAAGAGTTAAAGCCCAGCGCACTAGCTCGATTTGAACAGCTCAACGGTCTCAAGCTGCGAGATCGCAAGCCGTCGGCGATGCTCCGCGAACTTCAGCACATCGCTGGTCCCTTATTCTTGAGCGAAGAAGTGATAAAGGAACTGTGGTTTGCACGTCTTCTACAGCCATTGCCTGTAAGGCTGTCCATGTTTCTGGATACGACCCTGAAAGAACTAGCTACCAAGGCAGACGCTGCGTTTGAACATCTTCCGCACTGATAAAAACCGAGTGTCATATTTGCTCCAAGTTGTCAGGCTGATCTGACCCTAAAGACGAGCAAATTGCGTTACTTCGCAGCAGGTTAGCAGTAATAAAGGCTTCAAAGCAGCGTATGCCACGGTCAGGTGCTGACCACATTTTGCCTACCGTTCATTGCGGCTCGTCTGTGCCTGCACCGAGTACGTTCCATTTGACAAAAAAGCACAGCATTCTCTCTGCACCTTTTCAGTCCGACCATACCAAATCCGTCGAAGAATTATGTTGGTATCACCTCCAGTATGGTGGTAGAGCTAGACGTTGTCGGGCTCCCTGCATTAGGCACGACTCAACCGCTTCAGGGAAAGCGAATAGCCCGCATACTAGCACGACCAACGTATCCGTCAATAATCAAACAAACCGCCTGTTTTACGTTAAGGCTCGACGTTCTTCCATCAAATTCCTCATCTAAACGGGAGCGGAAGTTAGCGTCATCCCTTCGAACGCGAACGACAAGCACTCAAAGCCTACGTACAACCTGCGTGCGGCCAACGGTTCTCCGATAGCTTCATTCGGTCAGCGCATGATGAACCTGGACCTCAATCTCCGCCGAGATTTTCAGTGGGTCTTCATGGTTGTGTCTATACCCTTCGCAATTATCGGTATCGACTTCCTCCGACATTTTTGGTTTTTTATGCTGCTGGTCGCCACAGACTTCTAGAAAACCGGACTAAATTAGTGGTTGAAGGCGTTCTTAAGGACGCTCCGATAATCAGTCTCGTTTTCCGAATCGTCGGTGTACGTTCCGATTATGCGAACCTACTGGCTGAATACCCGCGACTGGTAGGACCAGCTGCAGAACTTCCGCCGTTCAAGACAGAGGTCGCTCATCACATTGCCACGTGCGGTCCGCCAACGAGTGCCCGACCAAGACGACTCGCCTCCGACAAATTACGTGCCGCAAGAGCTGAATTCGATCGCATGCTTCAGCTCGGTATCATCAGAGCATCCAACAACCCATGGACGTCACCACTCCACATGGTTCCGAAAAAGACTATGGGGGACTGGCGTCCTTGTGGCGATTATCGATCCTTAAACAACGTAACCACGTCTGATCCCTATCCGATGCCACATATCATGGACCTCACCGCCAGTCTGGAGGTAAAAACGTTTTCAGTAACATCGACTTGGTGCGGGCTTACAATCGAATTCCGGTAGCCGAAAAGGACATCGCTAAAACTGCCGTGATGACTCCATTTGATGTGTTCGAGTTTCTGCGCATGCCGTTTGATCTAAAGAATGCCGCGCAAACTTTTCAGGGCTCTATCGACCAAGTTTGTCGCGACCTAGACTTCCCTTATGCCTATCTTGATAACATCATAATCGCGAGCTCTTCACGAGAAGAGCACTTACGCCACGTTCGAACGCTTTTTGAGCAGTTATCTCAACAGGGAGTGACGAGCAACGCAGAAAAGTGTTGGTTTGGTGTCAATCCGGT